TGTTTTCGAGTTTCGACATAAAGAAATCCGCAAGCAGAGGGCCTAGTGGTGAGCCCATAGCTATACCATCCTTTTGACGATATATTTCATTGCTAAAGGAGAACTGTACGTTTAGGGTGCATCTCAGCAGAAATTCTTTTAGGTAGTCGGTGGGTATGCCGATGTTTACTCCTTCTGAGTGGATGAGCTCGCATATGTGACAAATTGTTTCAGTTAGTGGAACATTTGTAAACAATGAGACAGCATCTAGTGAGATCATCGTTTGATTAGAAACATTGACGTTTTCGACGCAGTTGACGAATTCAAATGAATCTCGCACTGAGTGACGGGAGACTTGTTTTCTAATTGGTTCAAGTAAGTCTGCTAGCCATTGGGCAGTGCGATGGTAAGGTGAGTTAGTCATGTCGAGGATCGGTCGAAGTGGAGTGCCCATCTTGTGTACTTTAGGAAGTCCGTAGAGTCTTGGTATATTTGAACCAGATGGTCTCAGGGATTCAAACGTTTCGTTGGTAATGAAGGATTCGTTCTTTAGTTTACGGAGGATGTCTGTTAGTTTTTGTTCAATCTGCTCCGTCATGTTTTTCTCGTTGGCCGGTTTGGTTAATTTAGATTCATCAGATAGAATGGTCAACATTTTACTGATATAATCCTTACGGTTCATGATTACGATTCCTCCACCTTTATCAGGACGTATCAGCATAATCTCTTCATTGTTCATCAATTCTTTCAGCTCTTTGTAGTGTTTCTTCGTTAGTACGGATCTTCCGTTTGGGTTGCCATTTATGAATTTGTGGCAACAGTCGAGGACAGTTGATTTGAATTGTTGTAGGTTCTCATCGGACGTCGGTATCAAGTCATAGGTTTGATTTGTCAGGTTTTCAAATTGAACCAGGCATTGAAGCTTGTGAACACTTCGTGGTTTTACGCAGACCAAGAGATAACACCTCTAGTTGAACTGTGGATAATGTGATGTTTGAGAGGTTGAATACATACTTTTCTGGATTGCTTGGGAACGGACGTTCGGTGTTAACTGAAGGCTTTAGGCTCTTAAGGAGGTCAGATTTGATGTTGTCGCATTGTTTCTCTGTGACTTCTTTTGCATATTCTTCGAAGGGTTGGCGTAGTTCTGCATCTAAGTCTTCGACTACATGAGCACGTGAGTAGACATTTCGTTCTAGCTCAGGAATGCGTGATTAAATGGAATCGATGTTGTTTAGTGTGTGTCGTCTCAGCGTTCTGGTGTTCGGATGAATGTGGTTGCGTCTGGGTGATTTCCAGTACATCTTTGGGTATTCATGTTGTTCTACACACTTTCTTAAGAAGTTCACCTTAGTCTTCGCTACTGAAAGTTTGACGGAGTAACGTAAGAAACCATCCAGCTCCTTCACCACTCCTTGCAACGTTTAAGTAACTTGAAAATCCCCATTCAGTCATATTTGCTGAACGCCTTCTTTTCTTGGTCTGCGTAAAACCACGAAGTGTTCACAAGCTTCAATGCCTGGTTCAATTTGAAAACCTGACAAATCAAACCTATGACTTGATACCGACGTCCGATGAGAACCTACAACAATTCAAATCAACTGTCCTCGACTGTTGCCACAAATTCATAAATGGCAACCCAAACGGAAGATCCGTACTAACGAAGAAACACTACAAAGAGCTGAAAGAATTGATGAACAATGAAGAGATTATGCTGATACGTCCTGATAAAGGTGGAGGAATCGTAATCATGAACCGTAAGGATTATATCAGTAAAATGTTGACCATTCTATCTGATGAATCTAAATTAACCAAACCGGCCAACGAGAAAAACATGACGGAGCAGATTGAACAAAAACTAACAGACATCCTCCGTAAACTAAAGAACGAATCCTTCATTACCAACGAAACGTTTGAATCCCTGAGACCATCTGGTTCAAATATACCAAGACTCTACGGACTTCCTAAAGTACACAAGATGGGCACTCCACTTCGACCGATCCTCGACATGACTAACTCACCTTACCATCGCACTGCCCAATGGCTAGCAGACTTACTTGAACCAATTAGAAAACAAGTCTCCCGTCACTCAGTGCGAGATTCATTTGAATTCGTCAACTGCGTCGAAAACGTCAATGTTTCTAATCAAACGATGATCTCACTAGATGCTGTCTCATTGTTTACAAATGTTCCACTAACTGAAACAATTTGTCACATATGCGAGCTCATCCACTCAGAAGGAGTAAACATCGGCATACCCACCGACTACCTAAAAGAATTTCTGCTGAGATGCACCCTAAACGTACAGTTCTCCTTTAGCAATGAAATATATCGTCAAAAGGATGGTATAGCTATGGGCTCACCACTAGGCCCTCTGCTTGCGGATTTCTTTATGTCGAAACTCGAAAACACTTGCCTAAAGAATATGATTGAAAACTTCGAACTCTACAAGAGATACGTCAACGACACCTTCATCATCTGCAACAACGAAGAGAATTTAGAAGATATCCTGAAGTTCTTCAACAGCTGCCACCCTGCGATTCAGTTCACGCTAGAGAAAGAGTCTAACTCAAAGATATCTTTTCTTGACGTTCAACTAACGAGACGCCAACAAGACGGAACATTAAAAAGACCCATCTACAGAAAGCCAACGTGGAACGGACAGCTCACTAACTTCCACAGTTGGGTGCCTCTATATACTAAACGAAACTTTATCCGTTCACTAAGCTACAGAATACGTAGAATTTGCTGCCTGGACGCCATAGAAGACAAAATGAACACTCTTCAGAAAATCCTCCTTTTAAATGGCTATCCAGAAAGATTTATCACAAAATCAATGAAACCCAGACCAGAGAAGCCGCCAACACCCAATGCTCCAAAAAGACTTCTCTACATGAACCTACAGTTCAATGGAGACCAATCTACAGAAATACTGAGAAATCGGCTCTCCCGCTCATTGAAGAAAACCTTCCCTGCAGCTGAATTACGACTGACGTTCTCCACGAGACCAATGATTCGTATGAACGTGAAGGATAAGCTACCGCTGTTGGCCTCATCTATGTGCATCTACCAATTCACCTGCTCGTGTGGAGCCAGGTATATCGGCCGTACTCAGCGTTCGCTATCCAAACGCGTCAACGAACATTTACCCTCATGGTTTTATAAAGGAGAAAACCGATGCCCCCGCAGCTCGATCCTTGAACATTTGATCGACTCTGGACACCAAGTCAAACCAGAAATAAACTTCAAAGTTATCTACAGAATACAAGGCAATCTTGCTAAAAGTGTACGGATCAAACTTCTCCACATCGCAGAAGCAATGGCAATTCATCTGCTAAATCCTGAACTCTGCATACAAAAGAAATTCGTTCATTCATTAAATCTACAATGGACGTAATCTTTCTTAACTTCAGTCTTACTAATTGTATTATTTTGTCTTTTGCATTTTATTATTTCACATCTTCATTTATATTATTCTCTACCCCACCCTTTTATAATCTCTACCCTCATTAACAATGTTGCTAACTTGACCCACGTCCAATTTCTAGTCAACTATGTTACGTCATCCGATTAACTTACTTATTTTCAACTGTATTATTCTCTAACCCCACCCTTATTTAATTTTAAGCACCACTCATTAACACTGTTGCCAACCTGACCTACTCTGAATTCTACTCAACTGTGTTACGTCATCCAATTCACTTAATCAATTCTATTTTATTTTCTATCTTAGCGTTTGTCTCCAAGTCAAAGAATACTTACATTACATAATTATCTAAACTTTATAAATCTAATGTACACACACACACACAAAATTGTATATATATGCGATTGTACAGCTCAGTGAATGAATTCGCCGAAAAAAGTCTCTTCGCTGAACTCCTTCTTTTCTTTTATATGACTGAATGGGGATTTTCAAGTTACTTAAATAAATAGAAGCTTAGCTTTGGATACATGAAAATTGTTGTCAAGTAGTGAACTTAAAGGAAGAGCTATGAGATCTGAAGTGAAAATTACCGGAAAAAGTACGAAATGGAGAATATTAAATCGAAGATTTTACAGGATTTGAGTGAAAGAAGAGGGAAGAACTCTACGCATGCAGTTACGTGGTTCACTAGCTTAAACACTAGGTTTTCAGCCATTGGGTTACAGGTTTAAGTCCCGCTACACCTGTTTCGGTCTGCGAACTTTAGCAATAGCACCAACCCCCAATGCAACAGGCATGGCTAAAAACCTTGGCACATGGTTGTCTAACTAATGTCAATTTGTGATCAAATCTGTAAGATGGAATTTAATTTAATTTTAATTTTTGATTACAGCTTGATTCCACACCATATTTTTGGTACAAGTATGGAATTTTCAGCATGGATATCGGTAGCCCAAATTTCGCAGGCCGACCATAGATATCAGGTGTGCTTCGGCGTGGGCTCGAACCCCGGACCATGAGCATGGTCGGCAAGAGTCCTAACCACCGTGCCACCGACGCAGATCTGTCTCAAGTAATTGAGTCAAAACAAATTCAAAGTATGGGGGAGTGAAGCAAAACAACAATTGAGAATGACAGATGAAAGAAGAATAAAAAGCTGATGTTCGTGTATAATCTGGAGGTCATGGTGATATGTTATCCAGTAAATAACACGGTTTCAAGATCCTTTATCTCCCCATACTGCATATAACAACACTGAAAACGATTATTAATCCCAAACAAACGCAACACTTTAGAAGGTAGTAATTCCAGGGGCGTTCCACAACGCACGATAGAATTACTTGCTGGAATAGTCAACCCAAACCAATCTCAATGGTATCTGAAGGTTTTACAGAGTAATTCGGGGGACAAAGCAATGTAAAGATTTGTAAGAAATACATTTTTACCCAAAACCACAATAAAAACTTAGGGCCTTTATATCTGGAAAAGCGTTTGCGAGCACCTGACGCTGAGGAAAGACAATTTCAACTATCTGATGCTCATTAAAATACCGACAATGCGATAGCAATTGTAAAATTTTTGTGACAAATCTCACCAGTATAAATGAGGCATAAATAGACTCACCGCTGCGTAATATAAGAACACAGCTTCACATATTGCCCGGAAAAATATTTGTTGGCATCAGGTCACCAACAATTGTATACAACACATAAACCTAAATGATAGAAGAGTCAGATGTTATCATAAGCCAGCTAACAATGGCATCCTGAACACTACATATATGCTAAGGGACAAAGAATCAGCTTTGTATCGGGTACTAGGACTTGATGTGCTGATAAGGTACTTTCTACAATCTCACTCGCGTCCCATAATGATTTTTATCTGAGATTTATTTGGAGAAGCATATTGATCTCAGATCCTCTCATCACGTGAGGAGCGTTGAAGGTTTTGGGACGCTATTCTTAAACTTCGCCAAAATGTAAGCAAAGTAACTAAATAGCATCCAATACTAAGAATTATCTGAATGACAAAAAAAATAATCTATCCCGCTATATACGTACTTTAGGACGAAATTTACGAGTCACTATGTTACTTTCATATTCACTGCTTCTTAAGGTCACACTCAAGGTCCAAGTATTCAATATTTAAAATAATTTTTTACAAGCGGCCAAGCCTAATGGATTTATTTGGGCTCGCTTCTTGTTTCTGAGCCACATTTTTTTGATCTTCAGTGAGCATTTTTGTATTCTGTCAAGTCTTTCTCTTGTGGTAGTCATGTTATTAGTGTCTGCTATTCCGTGGTGACATTATTTCTACTGTAAGAGTTCTACTACGGCTTAGAGTGGACCTATACTCTAAACACCCTTACAAACGTCTTCACCGTTTTGGCGACCTACTAAGCTTAGCAGTACACTACTGGACGCGCAAATACTGACGAACTGTATCGTTGTAAAAAGACTTGATGTGACAAGAGTACCTGGGAGAATTATATTTTATTCGACGAAATATAAAATTCAATAAATAAAGAAGTCGTACAACTTATCTCCAGACGTTGCTGGAGGTAGGCTCGGAGAGTGTGCAGAAGGAGAGCACAACAAGAGAGCGAACCTATGAACGTAAGGGGGTGAGGATATACGTTATAACGTGGTTATATTTCCCGCGACTCAGGTTTTTTCGTCTTTCATTGGCTAGAACAGTGGCGGTCAATTGGAGTTTGAATTGTCCTTGGGTGCGTTCTGTCGGGTGCCGTCTTGGCGTGGTTGTGTTTGCTTCGTTTGCCAGTATATGTGATGACTATAAACGTGAATTAGACTATTGTAACGCTTTGTTTTTCTTTGTTTGTGCATGTACTAGGCTTTGTGTGTCGTACAATTCGTTGTTTGGTCTATCGGTTGCTTGCGATGTCAACGAACCGGTGGGTTCTTGTGTTTTTCTGTAATTTAGGTTTTACGTGCGGTATTTTCTTGATGGTTATTGATCATGCCTGTATTTCAATGTTGTTTTTTTACGATTTATCTTGGAATAGTTGTGACATAGATAGATACTAATTGATAAATTTATTGTAGTCCGTTGCAGGTATTAAATTCGAGTGAAAGGAGCACAGACTTAAGTGGAATTTTTGGTGAATTAATACTTGGAAGGCGTTTCTTGAGCTGGGATGAATTCGAGAAGTCACTGGCAGAATTCCAAAAAGTGAGGAAGTCATTTAATGCTAACAATAAAGTTGTCCTGCACTCACTATGTTCATATTTATAGCAAAACGATACCGGATGACAGATTTAAATACGCTTTTGTTGGTTTTAAATGCACTTTTGGAGTGAATCGTACGAAACCTGGATTGAAATTGAAAAATAAGTCGTAAGAAGAAGTGTAGTATTATTTCATGAATATTTCAGGTCTAAATGTTGCAATTGCTCGTCTTCATTTCGCGTGGTTTTGCGTAGTGGTGAATTCATAATTGCTTCCCACAATATGGTACATAACCATCCATGCAGCAGGGTGTACATGCAGAATGACTCATGGTTTAGACGACTAACAGTTGAAGAGAAAGAAAATGTTGAACCACTTCTTCAGCAATCCCACTCATCCGATGAAATAATAATGCATGTTAAGGAGAAGTACCACAAGGATATAACTCGCATTGACGTTAAAAATATGAAAGCCGCAGTTAATAAAGGTTACGTTGACGTACTTGTTACATACTTAAGGTATTTCGAGTCGTCGTGACATTTTCGAATTCCTAAAATCCCGTGGGAAGTTAATGGAGTATTATTCCGATGAACCGATCAGGAATTCACTAACAAGAATTTGTTTTGCAACTGATGAGCAAATCGAAATGTATAAACAGTTCCCTGAAGTTGTTGGTATCGATTCAACGTCCACTTCAGAAAGCCGTATTTCACAGGTATATTTGCGTTTTTATGACTCCGTTTTTAATTTATGTCGACAGAAATTTAATTAATTAATGTTCTTATATACGGAAAGTTGTAATTTTTATTAAACTATTCGTGTGTACATTGCCTTAATTGGAAACAAGACACAAGCACTACCATCATTGCACGTGTAACATTCAGTTTATAGTTATCTTTACGTTTTTTGTTTCACCTTTTGTAGTTAACCATGTGATGCAGAATTGCAAACAATGGGCGTGGTCACGCGACTTGTTCGCATCTCAATGCACGTCAGCTGTTGTCCCTCAAAATCGAAGTGCCGCATTCGAAAGCTACCTAAGTATTGTGGTCAAGGGCTTGAGGAAAATTCATGACGAATTTGGAGAAGTGTTTGCCAGGAATTATGTAGTAGAAGTAGCCGCAGGAATCAATCGTACTCTGAATATGTAAATAAACTGAATTTGTATCATAAGTAAAATACAATTTTCATGTTAATCTTGTTGTCTTTCGATTCATGTGTTCCCTTATTGAGCACGGCATGCTAGACCGGTGCTCTCTAGGACTTTAACTATACGTAAGTGTAATTGCGTAGGAACGATGTCGGTCATAGTCATATAGAAGTCTTTAGGGACAAATGACAATAGTAGGCATAACTTAGGCACTGCATTCCAGTTCCAGTTCTCATACGGTTACGTGTATTCTAAAGTATTGCATTACTAATGTTTAACTTAAAGCGTGATGTCATTCCATATGACTAAGGCTGTTAACACGTAGCGTAAATTCCAGACTACACGAGACAAATTATTGAATTCGTTCAGCTGTAGCACTCGTAGTTAGATTTACCTTACACTACTATATGCCACCAATTACTTCGTCAGGTCTTATTAATAACTGGCGCCTGCATCTAGTCATCATGACAAATATATCCACAATCAGATTAAATAAAAAAGGTCTGGTAAGTAGGATGTTAAATATATTTAATCAAAAATAATAATAAGCACATGTCTTTACGCAGTTGTTCGTCGTAATACTTTGGACAATGTCGAAGCAATGCGACCGGGTTGAATGACGTTACCGGATAGCTGCAGAAAAGTAAACAAAGAAGTAATATTAAAGTTAAACGCTTTAGATTTGCCTACCTTTGCTGAAAATGGTTCATTCTCCTTTCTCATTCTTCGTTTATGACAGCATTCTTCTGTGGTTTTCACTGTCACACCTATTGTTCATCTTCTAAAGGATAGCAGGAAGCAAATAATAATAACTACAACAGGCTATGATAAGAGTTAAATTGTAAACCCTCAACAATGAACACTGTACACAGTTAAGATAAAATATAGTGTAATAGTGCACAATTGAAAAGAACATCGTGAAGTACATAAGTGATATTTCAGTGCCAGGTAAACTGAAATATCTGCAACCTTACAATTCCTAAGACAACCTAACATGTAAGGTCTCTCACAAATTTCTGTAGGGCCTGTGGGGTACCATGGATGGTTTGCCGTTAATCTGAGCTTTTGAAGGATGATTTACAAATACAAAAGGTAATAACCATCGAGACTGAGGTAGTATTTCCTAGGTGTTCGGCATTTTTTCCTTTGAGGCAGTTTCTTATCAACAGTTTGCAGTATTCATAGTGAGTCTATAGGAACCTTCATTGTATCATGATTTTCACCAAATATCCCTTAACTCACAGAAGCAGGCAGTAACCCTATACACTGAAGCATTGTAACCAGAACATCACAAAATGCTTACAGATAACTTGTTTAGTAATAACTGCTTGAAATATAAGGGCTATAAGTGCATCTTTCATAGCCACAATTAAGTCATTAAGGATCTCAGAATATCTTGGTGATGTGAAACAAAATAATTATTAAGATTGATATAACCTATGCAACAGGTGTAGTAGTTGTGTGACACAGCTGCTAGCTACTAATCAACAGAAAGCTGATACTCATTTTAAGTACTCTGACATTTGAGAAGGACTATTTATACTATTCTTCGAGACACGATGAACACTGATGTCAATATACTCTGATGCCATTTCATGCACTGAGCAATTAAGGCCTTCTGGAATTCCATGTGCAAATGTCAATTAAACTATTATCACATCTTCACCCAAGCACTTTTAACTAGGAACTTCATCAAAATAGATATAATCACCAGGAAATTCGGCAGCCTGTCTCATTCATCGCATAATGTCGTCGATGTGTTACGGAATATTTCAGTCATCCCGGATGATAACAGAAGTGTTTGACATGTTCAAAACACACATCTAACCTATGTCTGCATGCTATTTCTCTTTCACAGGCCAGATTCTCATAGATTCACTGGAATGACAACAGCCATTGCCTGCAGTGTATTTACGACCTTAATATTTGAAACAACTTGCGAAAAACAAACCCTCAACGCACTATAATGCAAATAATACTCTTTCTATGCGAACTTTCTTCAAAAGGATGACTTCTTCATTGATAATCCGTCCGAGCTATGATATACAATTTTACGCTTTACTATGAACAAAATAATGCCGTGTGGCTCCAGAAGTCTAAAACTAGTCAAATATGATCTATTTCCCAAAAAATAGGCGATTATAACGCCTGTAGCCGTGAACGCGGTAACCGATGTCGCTGCGCGATAACACCTGGTTATAGCGTATATCCTCACACACGTAAGGAAGACTCACAAGTCAAAAGGTAAAACGTGGATCACCGTGGGTGAGTCAGTTTAAACAAAAGTTCAAAGGTACAATGTGCACTACAGGTTATCCCCCCCCTAGAAGGTTGGTGGGAAACCAGCAAGCTTCGATATACAACAGTAGGATGGCTTGGCACAGTAGCAATGGGTGAATGAGAAGGTTTGAAAATAGCAATAGTAAAAAAAAGAAAT